AGGCGGCGACGTGCTGGGAGCCATAGGGAAGCTGAGGTACTGGGGGTACTGGGAGCACTGGGCATGGCTGGCTGCATGCATGTATGCTAGAGGCCCTGGAGAGTGCAGCATTATCCTGGCAGTAGGCCCCAAGCATCCCATGGGATGTGGGGAGCAATGATTTGCCCATCAGGCAGTGGGGTGCCATGGGCTCCAGCCACGGGTGGCACTCCGTGGGCAGGGGTGGGCAGCGACGTTGGGGTGTTTCATGCTGCGTTCCTGGTAGGTGAGTGCTTAGGTTCCTGTCCAGTGTTTGGCGTGAATGAGTCAAGAAAACATGCCCCAATGCAAGGAGGGAGACTGCAAGGTTGGCACTGGTGCAACTTGCTGTATTGCAAATGAGTGCACTGACAAACAAAAATTATAGCTTGGTTTTGGCATTGACAGTTGGCCCTGTTTTTTTGGGGGGAGCAGCCATAGCCTTGATCAGCTGCTCTGACTCAAGCGTCCATGTTTAGGGGAGCAGATATGTTCACATTAGGGATGCTGGACTTATCCCACACTGATTTCCTCTATTGGTGCCTCCTCTGGACAAATTAAGCGGAGCCCTTCCAGCACAGATCACATCCTCAAATCCAAGGATTCGTTCTCAGACCCTGCGGGACAGGAGGTGATGGTGGGCAGGACGCTTGCGAAAAGCCAGGACAGAAGTGTGGAACCCAGCTGTGGTGCTTAGCAATGCTTGTTGCCCTTCACAGTTTTGCAATTGACTGTCCTACAGGTCTAAGAAATTTTAGTGAGATCAACAAGTTTAGGAAGACTCTCAGTGGGTTTCCAAATTTCCTAAGCTGCTTATAGCTATCCCTTTATGAGCAACATAGTCAAGAAGAAAGGTTTCTTTTTTGTGCCTTTTAAGAGAGCTTGAAAGAAGAAAACTTCCATCAAACAAAATAGCAGGACGTGAGCATCATCCCCTCTGTTTGCAGCGACAGAGGGTGTCAGCAGTCATTTGAGGGTGCAGTGCAGTGCCCCCTTCTAAAAGAGGTCCCTGCTGGAGCATACTCTTTTATTATCTATAATTATATAGATCATACTGATCACCTTGCACCTGGATGCCCTTCAATTCCAGTATTGCCAGCTGAGAGCAGCAAACTTCCCTCTGGGAATAACATTCCCCTGAGGCTGGGGGCCCCTAAGCTCTGGTCTTCTGCTGCTGTTCCTTCCTCCTTTTCCTCCTGGCTGCCCCCTGCCAGCAGCCCATCAACCAAAGATCTTCGTCCCTGCTATGGACAATGTCTGGTTCGGTAGATGATGTGCCCTGCATGAACTTTGAAGCCAACATATTTGCAAAGAGCCTGTGCCAGCACTGTTTCCGAGCTGCAGAGGCTCACC